TTGATTTTTCCATAAATGCTTTACCAAGTACCAAAGAAGAAAGTATGGAAATGTGTTCGTGGTCCATATGAGGGGCCATTATCGCCTTGTTTGGAAACAATGAAGACTGCATGGCCGCCTTTAACAGTTGTGGGCATAGTTGTCAGACTCGACCCGGACACAGACCCGGATAATGCAGTGCGTCAATGGGTTAATGGTTCAACCGGTGACCCGGTGATTCAACTGGTGGGCCATTTCATAAAAACCTACAAAAGAATATAAAGTATAAATTTTTTTGGAGGCAAAATTAAAATTTTTAATTTATTTTTCTCTAATTATTTAAATCTATAAAATAAAGTAAAATGTTGAATGAAAATTTTTAAAAACAATATTTTTATAAAACCTATAAATTATTCATTAGATAGATATAAGTTATTTGCACATAAGTAATACTAAAACACTCTATGTCAAGTGGTGAGGAACCCATTATTTTTCTTGGGTCCAATATTAAATTCTCTTGGACCCTAAAATTTTATAAGAGAATTTTAAAACTCAATCAAACCGGTCAATTGAGCCCAGTAAATTGTCGGGTAACTTGTTTAAAATCTGATTTTGACAGAGTCAAATGCATTTCTATTATATTAATCTGCCTCAGCCAGGTCAAAGGTCCTGGCCGCCGATTTTTCAAACCGATCGGCCAGGCCCATTTTTATAACTATGGTTGTGGGATAAGCCTCAAGTCATCTATAGTGCTTTCCTTATTTAGCGTGCCCTAATGATGTCAACAAGGAAGAATCTTATTAGAGGAAGAGGTCGGCGATTACAACTCATCGTGATGTTCGGGATGGATGCTGGAGACATTGATTTTCTTGATTGGTTGACTTTGAGTGATAAGATTAGTTTGCCACGCGTCACTAGAAGATTGGATGATGTAAAGTGATGATGTCATCTAGTCAAATCAGTAATCATGATGTACCATGTTTATGGCGGAGCTTTGCCGAACTGTATAGAAGAAGCCTTCGAGCTATTTTTTTTTTGGACGAGGTGATGGTTAATTTGCAATTTCATTTTAAAGTTGTTACTTAATGAGTAAACATACTTTCGGTGAGCTTATGGCAATAGAGGATGCTGAGGAAGAGCCATGCGACAATAAGGGAGAGCAGGTGAGAGAGGAGGGAAAAGGCGAATATGACGGTGAGTATAGTGGTCGATCATGACTAAAGTTGACGGTGGCAAGAGTTGGTGTGGGAAAACCTAAAAATTTGATTTTGGGAAGAAATTGCATAAATGAAAGGTGGGTGATGTGGGATAAAATTATTTAGTGTGCATATATCAAACCTCTGTTTGGTTGATTTTGATAAAAAATGATAAGATGTATAGTAGAAAGTTGTGGGCTCAATGACATGTACCGTTGTAAATGAATTTAAAAAAAAAAAAAATAAGTTTTAGAAAATGAGACCAAACAGTGGGCCTAATTTATTATACAAAAAATTTTAATATCAAATTTTTTAAAATTGAAACCTTAAATTTTTTTTTTTTTTTTACTAAAATCCAGTTAAAAGGATTTTAAAAACTCGTGTTTCGCCATAATGATCATGTGCATACCGTGTAGCATGTCCCAACTTTTCTTCTTAAATTCTTTGTAGGTATGATTGGAATTTTTTTTAAAAATACGTGCAAGCAACGTGCAATGCATATTTGCTTAGTTTTTAATTTGTTATCAATAAATATGTAATTTTTTTGGTTAATTAAGAGCGTGTCTGGGCACGCTGCAAGGAGGAAGAAAAATTGATTATATTACCCTTTTTTTCAAACATATAGCCCTACAGTGAGAGAATTGGTCCAAAATTGCGGCTCCCAACGGCATGAATTGTGCTGTCAACAGCTTGATTTCTACTGAAAAGCAGAAACAGACACCATCTAAATAATTAATGATATAATATTTATGTAATTGATAAATAATTAGATGTGTGATTTTGATGTTGTGATGTAAGTTGGTGAGATTGAAGAAAATAAGTAAAAGTTGACAAAATTGGAGAAATGGCTAAATTGTAAGGGATCCAAAGTTCGGGGACTAAAATGTAAATACTTAAAAGCTGTGCCGAATCTCACGATGAAGATTTGAGAGTGCTCAAAGTCAATTGGATAAAGGAAGACATCAAGATGATCAAATTTAGTCAAAAGATGATCACAAATCAATTTTCAATTGAAAAGTTATGCTCCTGTGTTTTAGTCTCATATTGAAACCTATTTTTGGTATAGAAAGTGATCAAATTGGAGAATGATGTCTGAATCAAAGTTTTAGCCAGATGAGTTAGCTTTCCAACGCATTTTGAATCACATCAATCGGATATCGGAATACAAAGTTATGATAAAAACAATGAAGGAAGGTGCAGATGTCTGTTTAAAATAAGAAATTCCGTTACATAGTCCGTTAAAATAACAAATTCTGTTAGTTTTTCCGTTAAAACAAGAAATTCCGTTACATATCCACTTTTAATATATAGAAGATTTATTTTTAATTATA